TGTTTCCTCATTTATATAGTTGTTCTCGTTCTTATAATCCCACAATCGCTTCTGTGGTCCACTTTTATTATCCTATCAATTAGGATGTTAAATTCTTTAGAAGTTTTTATTGATGGGGCGTTCATGAGTTTTCATCTCTTTTATCTCTGTTGAATGGAGTCAAGGTCAGTCAGTTGACAAAAGGGGGTGGTCTCTTTCTTCGATTTATATTTTCTTTTTTTTGGCGCAGCTCTTCCTTTGATTCTATGATTGAAGATCCTAGTATAGAACAGTTTGATCCTTTTGTGATGATTTGGAAAGCAAAACTGTCTCTCCAATTGTTGCTCAGATGCGACTTCTATACTATGTATTTATCTCATTGGGGGCCTTGTAATTGTTTTTTTGCCACTGTACTGTATTATGTGTGTAGGAAGTGAGATTGTTGATCACATTTTCTAGTATGGTGCAGTTTTTTTTATCATTGCGGATAAGACAACATTCTTCGGTTGCAAAGAGGAAGAATCACCATAGTTGTCAAGACTAAGAATTGATCCTAGTTATGTGGTTTGATCATTGGAAATTGTTGATGTCAGTATGATGGCACTTTTCAGCGATGATGTTAGCGTGTATTACAGATTTTGAATTTTTTTTTCTGCTCCCGTGTTGTAATTTAATGATGAGATATTGCTCTGATACCAAGTTAAGTTGTTAATCTAAGGTTAGGGTTTAGTAGAGAGAGAAGTTAAAAAAAAAAAAGAGGGAGGGATTGAGAGAACTAATCTATGTGTAGGTTATATAGCCCTACACTCTTAGTTATAGTAAACTGATTTTATGAAAATTGCAATATTACCCCGCACTACTAATAATATAAATAAGAACTCTTAACATAAACCTCAAATCTTCAAGACGCAAGCATAACTCTAGAAAACTCGAGAACTTGGAGGGTTAAGGAAGAAAGTCGAAACTTATGTGTGGCCTTGATATAATTCCTCTATGGACAGCTAGAGAAGAACTTGAAGGCCAAAACGTGCTAAGGAGAACAAGGGAATTTAAAAAATGGATAAAACTTGAAGGCTCTCATTGGTAACCATCACGCATTGTCTTTTGGCTTGGAGTCATTTGCCCATATTCGTTTATTTTTGCTCAGACCAAAGCATCACACAAGCTAGTGAATTGGGAATTGAAGATTTAGGGAAACAAGTGGTTAATGGGCATGCTAGTGATTGTAAGGGTGCCACGTGGTTTATGTTTTAGATTTATATGCATTTCTTTAATTGGTTCTTCCATTCATTGAAACACAAAATAATAATAAGTCAATTTAATAATTTTTTTTTAATTTTTTATGATCTCATATTGAAGTTTGGGTTTAGGTAGCCTTTTTTGGATCTTTTAACTTTGATATCATTCTTGTTTGTGGTAGATTTGAACAGAGTTGGTACAATTTTACGGATGTACAAAGTGAATTTAGATTATGATGTCTTTTGTGTTACTGATTTAAGACCTAAAGTAGGTTCTTTAACACGACAATATTAGGTCTACGAATGGAAATATATAGTAAAAATCAGTTAGATACCCTTATGTGAATGATTTTGGAGTTGAAACGTGCAAATACATTCGTTTCTAGGGGGTGTGAATTGAGGAACAAAATTCATGACTTTGGTTTCTGTTAGCATTATGTAGCGCTTGTTACATCCTGCATCTATTATATTGTTCCCGATCTCATTACTGAGGTTGTTACCTTTATTTAAAACTTTGTTGTTATTGGATCATAATTCCTCAATGTTTACTATTTTGTTTCTCGAAATTGTGACATTCTCACAAAAAAAACTCAACAATGGCAAGCTAAGCTAAGATAAAAGGCATGATTTTCAATTGAATCGATTAGTTGATATGGAAAACCCCACAAAATACCACAAAATAACTGAAGCTCACCAATCGAACTATAGTTTATAGACGATGAAATGGGTTTCCTCTCGAGTTTCTTCTTCTCGCTAGTTGGTATGCTAGTTTTTTTTGGGGTGATAATGTGTAGATGAGGAAAGACAAACTATGCTCCAATGTTTGTCACTTTTGCTAAACACCCTTCAAGTAAGGTTTTGGGAAGTGTGAAATGATAATGGTGAAGGGTTGGAGATTTGAAGAACTCATCCATACATATGTTGTATAGGAAATATTAACTATTTGTCAACAATTCTTTTGCAAAAAGAGTGTTGGCCGTGGACCTTAGCCTCATGGAAAAATGGGTTGAGATTTGTCCAATAGATTAAAAGTATTTTGGGTTTTCTTGTTTCCTTTCTTTTAATTTTTTCTTATCTCTAGGTCTAGGGATCATGTACCACTAACCAAAGAAAAAGTGAAAATAAACCCTCACATGATTACTACTTCAAACTTAATTCCTTCGTTTTTACTAGATTGACTTAAAATCACTAGAGAACTGTATAATGATTGAATTGAAATGTAAATTAAATCATTTAAGATCTCAAAACCATATAATGTGACAATAAAATACACTATAAATCACTAAAAACATATATCTACATAATTTTGGAGTTAAAACATGCATAAATTCGTTTATGGGGAGGTGTAAATAGGAAATAAAAGTTCATTCCTCTAGTTTCTCTTACTATTATGTCCCGCTCGTTACGTCTTGTGACTGTTGTGATGTTATCATATCTGTTACGATGATCGTTACTATCATTCGAAACTATGATCCACAATCTTAATAGGTGTATGCTAGCATGGATACAACCTCTCGTGAATATTAGTCCCTCTCAGCCACTCTTGTGGGGAGAATACCACTATTAAGGAAGAAATTGTATGTTATGAACTTCTTCTTTTAATTGCCTATTTAGTCTGATGTTAGTGAGGTGGAGTAGCTGCATATTGAGGACAAGACTAATACCAGTGGCCCACCTAGTGCTTGTGTAGGCAAGGATAATTGGAAGACTTACTCTCGATGTCAAACATCATAGATTGCCATGTGCCACAAGTCACTTGCATTCCCCGATTTCGATTCTAGCATCTTTCATTGATTTATCACGTAATGAACTTTAGATTATTACTCTTGTCATAGATAATCCACTTGATGATTTTGAACTTCCAATTGCAGCCAAAAAAGGTGTTAGAGCTTGTATTTAACACCTTATTCGTAACTTTGTCTCTTATGATTCCTTATCTTCATTCTATTGTGCTTTGTTTCCTCGTAGTCTCTTACATATATTCTCTAGGGTTGGAAAGAAGTTTCCACTAATTCTTAGTGGAAAAATCTATTGGAGAGAAAATAAAAGTCCTATAGGAGAATAACACATGGGACCTGGTCTCTCTACCTATGGCAGCAAGAGCAGTTGGGTGCAAGTAGGTGTTCAATGTCAAGGAACAAGCTGATGGGATAATCGACAAGTACAAAGTTGGTCTGGTTGCTAATGCATTCACTTAGACTTATAGCATTGATTATCAGGAGGTTTTTACCTCATGGCGAGGTGAACTCCATACACACTCTTCTCTTTTGTGTAGGTAATTTGAGTTGGAGTTTGTAGCAGTTGGATGTGTAGAATATCTTTCTTCAAAGAGATTTGAAGGAGGAGGTGTATATGAAGATCTTACTAGAGTGAAGGTGTGTAAGTTGAAAAACTCTCTGTATAATCCTGAAGTAGTCTCTTAAATCTTGGTTTGATTGGGCCCTCAAAGAATATCATACTATATTCATCGAACAGATTTATAATAAGATAATTGTTCTTATTTTGTATAGGATGACCTCGTAATAACTGTCAATGGTGTGTAGGAAGGCACCAAACGAAAAACTTAGATGGTTAAGGCGGTGTTGCTATTTATCCTACTATACCAACAAAGGGTGGCTAGCAAATTTGCAAGGAGATAGTGCGACTTTCTTTGTTCGCATGGTAGAGTGAGGGGCTCTATCCATTCGCCATTAGGGTTGGCTTATGGTGAAGATCTGCTCATATGTTGTATGAGGGGCGGCAAAAGGCAGCTTTGCTCATAAGTTAGTGGTTAAATGGAAAAGAATCTATTGGCTTCTTTTCTATGTCGTGCTGCGTTGCTCCTAGAAAAGATGTAACAAAGATTAGTGAGGGCATTGATAAATCTCTCTAATACTCGGGTAGATATTGCTTATGAGTGGGTATTGTCAATTAGTTTATGCAAGATTCTCAAACTCCTTATCTTAAAATTGTTTGTCGTACTTTGAGATATCTCCAATCAACTCTAGAAAAAGGGATTTTGTTCTTCGACCAGGGTTACTTGAAGCTAGAAGTAGTCACTGATGTAGAGTGGGCAGGTTCAGTGGGTGACATATGATATATTTTGGGCTACTGTACCTTGATAAAGGAGAGCTTTATCACGTGGTGAATCAAAAAGTAACTAGTGGTAGTTAGGTCTAGTGTAGAAGGTGAATGCTGAGCAATAACTCATGGAACTTGTGACCTTATGTGGCTCCAAATCTTATTAGGAGATCTAAAAATTTATAATGATGGACTTATGAGCAGTGACAATAAAGTTACTGTCAACATTGCTCATAACCTAGTTTAACATGACAGAATCAAGCATTTTGAGATTGATCGACACTTCATCAAGACAAAGCTTATCAAGGGTTTGATTTGCATTCACTTTTGTGAAATTAGAAAATCAGTTTGCCCATTTTTTCATTAAGGGGCGTAGTAGCAAGATGTTTCACCCTAGTACTTCCTACTATTTTCTCTTCTTTTACTTCTTTCAATCTTTTTTTCTCAAATCCTACAACTTCACAATTTAACTTTCCTTGTTGTTTTATCTATCCTTGAAAAAGGAAGTAACTAAATGAATCATTGATCGGTATATAAAATTTCAGTGAATGTATAGAAAAATATTTCTGTTTTTTAGACATGCTTACATGATATACAATTTTACATTTTGAATTTTATTACAGTTGTTTCTTAAGGAACTTTGAGGTGACAATATGGGGTTAAAATTTTAATTATTTCTATCTCGTGGTCATTTTACACGATTGCTTTTATGACCAGGTAACAATGCCTAGAGATGCTTTACATCATGGAGGTGTTGAGCACCGAGAGTTGCATAATGCCTATGGTTACTACTTTCATATGGCTACAGCTGATGGGCTTGTAAAGCGAGGAGATGGGAAGAATAGGCCTTTTGTTTTGTCAAGAGCATTCTTTCCTGGAAGTCAAAGGTATGGAGCAGTTTGGACAGGAGATAACTCTGCAGACTGGGATCAACTCAAGGTTTCAGTGCCAATGGTTTTGACCCTTGGTTTGACTGGAGTATCATTTTCTGGTTAGTTAATACCTTTTGTTTAGGTTATCACTAGGAAGTTTAATTCTCATAAGCATAGTCATGGTAGATATACTTTGCAGGTGCGGATGTTGGTGGGTTTTTTGGCAATCCCGAGCCTGAGTTGTTAGTTCGTTGGTATCAACTTGGCGCTTACTACCCGTTCTTTAGGGGCCACGCCCATCATGACACCAAAAGACGAGAACCTTGGTTATTTGGGTAGGATATCCTCTTCTCTGCATATGAGATCTATTATTTAGTGATTGAGAATACTTTTATTATGCGACAGTGTGTAGGTTTGTATTTACCATTTTATAATGCAAATTCTTTCCCAAGGCAAATATATCTTTTTCTATATTATTTTATCTTGCAGCTTTATTTTACTTAATTGGGAGGTTTGGTACATTATTCAATTTGTATAATACACTTTATTTCTCAGAAAAGATGGTAATATATGGACCTCTATATGATACTTAAAATTTATTGCCATGTTGTGTTGTACAGGAGGGGAGGGTTATATAGGCATCCAACCTATAGGGTTAGAAGATAGTAGTTTTGTTTGACTTTTTGGAGCTAATGTTTTTCTCCTTTGAGGACTACTCCAGAGCTTTCAATGTTTTGAAACGTGAAAATTTGAAACTTGGACTCTATAATGGTGTCACTGAAACTAGTCTTGATGAGGAGTATAAATTCCTATCCCCGAGATTTCCATACAAAGTTGTTTTATTTTCCTGAAATGACCTTTGTCCTATAATCAAACTCTCTATAGGATCCTAGATTACAACATAAAATGATATAAACTTATCAAATTATGGGATGTCATGCATTGAGTATGGGTTTTTGACTTTCTTGTGGCAGGTCTGGGGGTGCTTTACTCATTTGGATGAGAGAGTGGTGAGAAATTTGGGGTCGGTTGGGGAATTTCCCAATTTCTATTACTGGAAACAAGGTGAATATGGTGGCTAACTGGGGTTTGTGGTCCTGATGTAGGATAGCAGTGGGCCTGAAAATTCAGCATTGTTCAAGGCTGAAAACAGTATTCGTCAACAGTATTTTGGGGCAGGAGGTGCTACTTTATGGGTTATGGTTCAATGGATTGTTTGGAAAAAGGAGTAGGGTTTTGTAGATCACTTTTATGATTTAAAAAATACAAATTCAGATCCGATGTTGATTTCTCCTCCTTCAAACATGATGTTGATTTTTTGGAATTACATTTCCTGTCATATGTTTGGAGGCAAAATACAACAATGATCCTTGAGTATGCGCTTTGTGTCACTTTTGTCTTCATTATCAAGTGTTATTTTACTCCTCAAGTTTTCAATTTGCTTCATTTTGGTTCAATACCGGTAGGTGTCGCTTGCGTCTTTGATGAACAAACAAGTGGTATTTGTTGGAACTTGAGTGACTGACCTGACACAAATTGCAGACTTGAGGGATCAAAGTGACACCAATTGCAAACTTGAGGGGCCAAAGTAAGCCCTCAAGTTTGATCAAGTAGGACGCACGTGATCATATCCATTGTGCAATTTAAACTGACGTTTTTGATTGGACAGTGACACAACTGAAAACTTAAAGGACTAAAGGACACAAGTGAAAGAATGATGACCAGTGACATAAAGTACATACTTGAAGGATTCTTACCGTATTTTACCCTACTTGTGGTGAATGCTTTATGAAGTGACTGAAATCAGTGTTACTTACTGTTACCAAATTGTCCTGTACATTAATTACCTACAGCTTCTTGTTGAAAAGATTAATCTCGAAATGGTTTTGTGTTCCGTTGCCACTGTTTAATATCATATTAAGTGATGGTGTGTTGATTGCAGGGAAAGGAATACAGAACTAATGAGGGAAGCCATACGCGTTCGTTACATGTTACTCCCATATTTCTACACCTTATTTCGAGAGGCAAACGTAAGTGGTGTGCCAGTTGTGCGCCCACTTTGGATGGAATTCCCAGCTGATGAAGCTACTTTCAGTAATGATGAGGCTTTTATGGTTGGAAACAGTATTTTGGTGCAAGGAATTTATACAGAGGTGCTGTTGCAGCCAGATGGTCGATTTGTCTTTGTTTGTTGTAATCAAATTTCTTCTGCTTTCTTTTTTTCACTTGTTACTTGCTTTGTCTCTTCGCTGTTTCTGTCACAAACTAAATGCATTAGCAATTTTCAAGCAGGGTGCCAAACATGTGTCAGTGTATCTCCCGGGGGGACAAATTTGGTATGACTTGAAAACCGGAACCTCATATAAGGGAGAGATGACCCACAAACTGGTGGTCTCAGAAGAGAGTGTTCCTGCTTTTCAAAGAGCGGGAACCATCATACCAAGGAAAGACCGATTTCGCCGAAGCTCCACTCAGATGGAGAATGACCCTTACACTCTGGTATGTGTTCGATTCTCAAGTGCTTCCTTCTTGGCACATTCTCCAGCTTGCAACCCTGCTGGCCCCCCCTTTCCCTCTCCTTTAAGTGAGCTAAAAAATCTTTCCATCCAATTGCAGAATTGATTGGAATCAGCTGATTGTTTTTAGTTTATTTTTGGGAAAAAATCTTCAACATTCGAATATGGTTTTGAATCTCACATGATACAAGAAACAGATACCATATGTTAGTCATATTTAATTGTCTACGTTACTTGGGCATCATGTCGTAGAAGTTGATGAGTCATTTTTATGTACGAGGACTCATTTTGTGTCAAAAAAAGTAATTAAAAATAGAAACTAGATGAAACTAGAAGAAAAAGAATAAAAGAGCAAAAGAAAAATGCATTTCAAGAGTGTGAATCTGGTGAGATGTATTATTCATTACCAGTGATTAATACTGAAGATATCCATCACATGAACTGTTCTAAATTTGAAACACAACAATAACTATAGTCATTGTTATATCATATTGTTGCAGCACTTTGAAGCCTTGACGAAATGTAACTCATCCAGAAAGAAATTATTGTAGTATGAGATATACAAGTGAGAAAAACAGTAGATGAAGTTCAAAGAATAGTAACAATGAAGTGGTCCCGAAGTCGTTGAGTCAATTGTATGCTCTAGGTGACAAGGCAATGTTTTCTGATTAGGAAAAATGGAAGAAGGGTGTGGTATGTTGCAGACAGTTTGTTTCATTCTTGGCATGTGATAAGTAGAGAGTTGATAAGTGTTTTAAAGATGGAAGTGGATAAAACATTTTTTTTTCCAGTAATTCAATCACAAAGGTAGAAGAGATTTGAAAAGAAGGAACTTAATTGGTGCAAAATTTTGTTCGCGTGAAGTTGTAGCTGTGAAAACCTGAATCTAATGCTTTTAGAAGCAAGGTTTCATTATTGGGAGGGTGGATTGCAATTAAAGGGTTTCTATTTCATCTCTGGCCATTGGAGGTCTTTAAGAAAATTGGGAATTGTTGCGGAGGTTTTGTAGAGGTTGAAAATGATACGACTAGTTGACGAAAATGGATTTTTAACTACTTCCCTTGACGTTAGCTATAATCGAAAAATCTACACTATTAAGGATTAGGGATTTTTCAATGATGGATAAATTTAGAAGATGGAGCTGGAACAGGATTGATGGAGATGGTAGCATGAAACCTCCATACCATAGGTGTGAGATTGCAGATGACTGCATAGGGTTGGGGGGAGTACGTGACGAAGAAAGAAGGGAGGTTGTATAGAAATTAAATTTACCCAATCACATAGTTACTTTAAATGGGCTGGTTTGTATGCCTTTTAATGATGTAGTTTAGGAGAATAAATTGCTACAAAATCGAGATTTTGGGATGAATAGAAAAGATTTGAATTTAAAAAATGGAGTTAATTTGGGAAGAAAACAATTAAAGTTGTAAATGATACATAACAGGATAACAAAAGTGGGCACAAGATGTTGGGTTGGAAGGAGGTGGTCTATAAGAATAAGGCTCAATGTATAGAGGAAGGAAATACAAGGGGAAAGAGGCCTATGGTGTAGCCCGTATATATTGGGCTTGTACCAAAACCTAAGCTGCAAAATTTTTTTGGTACATTAAAATGGATATGCAGATAGGACATTCCACATATCCGCTAGAAAGTATTGGCTCCCAGCACCACACATTTATGGGTGGGGGACTCCATCGCACCTACGTTGGGGTCGAAGCTAAAGTCCCATCGCGTGCTCTTTGTGCTGAAGAGTAGGTTTAACCCTAACAAGTTGTCGTAGTTATGGAGACTCGAACCTAAGTATTGAATGAGGAAATTCGAGTTCTTACCCACTGGGCCAATAGTTTGTTGGTTAATTTGGGCTTTTAAGTCCAAAACCAAGTTTACCACTAAAAGGAAAAGTCAGAGTGACCCATCCTTTTAGTCAAAAAGACGGATGGGATGTATAAGGGGAAGACATTGTCTCACGCTAGGACAAAACACCAACAGGGTGTTTCAAGGGAATTCAGTAGCAATCGTAAGTGGATCCAAGAGAAACAGGAGATGCAAGATGAATGGAGATGATGAGTTAAGTTATTCTGCAGCTGGTGAATCAGCTGCGAGAGTGCAAAATACATGAGATGACTTCGATAGTGTTTGATTTTTACAAAAATGAAGGGGTATGAGCGTTTGTTGGTGGAGATTGACGAGGGAATGTTTGATACCATCCCCCGACATATCCTATACCGAAGACTCGAAAAGTTTATTACGCCGAACAAATGTACACAAATTTGCATTAGGGACCATATTTGTAGCATTACTTACCTCACTTAGACTTGTAGAATTGATGGCTTCACTGCTCGTATAATTCCCATGATTCCTTTCCACATTTCCAGAAAACTCTTCAACATCACTTTGAAACAGCAGACCCATTCTATCGCATACTTCCTCACAACTTGGTTCTTCCTTTGTCTCGCTTCGATTACAAACAAGTCTAACGAGCTTCTTTCAAACCTAGAGTTCTTAGAAAAATCTCCAACAATTTCATCTTGTCTCTTCATGTCATCTGCTGGGACTATTTTTTTTTGGGGGGTTGAGAGAGTTGGAGGGTGGAAAAAAGTGTGGGGCAGTTCTTAGTGAGGGTTAGGAGGTGTCAAGGGTGAGGTATGATGTTTCGAGCTTTGAGAAAGAAGGGGGGGAGGGGAAATAGAAAACATGGGGAGAGGAGGGAAGAAGGTGGCAAAAAGTGGGCACTGGGTGTCCGTGGAAATCGAAAAACAATTAAGTTCAAATTTATTATTAAATCAGTAGTTGAGTTCTCGTGATCCAATTTTGTTTAATAATAATGAATACGCCACAACAAATTTTGCTTCAGGAAGTCTTAAAGCTGTAACTGATGATGCTATTATTTGTTATAAAGGAGAAGGAATGGAGGGATTAGGAGGGGAGGATGAGGGTAGCAAGGTGCCTACATATGTGGAATATAGGTGTTTTATGTCTGATGAAGAAAAATTGGAAGTTTTTAAAATATTTCTTAGAAAGATGGATTTTTCTTTTGTCCTAACAAAAAGTGTCAAACTAAAGGGAGGGGGAAGAGTGCAATAAGATAGTTGGAATGTTTGGGGGTTAGGATCTAGTAGAAAAGGGAAGTTCCATTAAAGAGTTTCTCTTGAAAGTAGGTCTGAATATAGTCATTCTGCAAGAATCAAGTTGAAGAGTATTGATAGAAAAATTGGCAAAAGTATGTGAGGATCTAGCTATAGGAATTGAGCTTTTTTACCATCTATGGGAAGATCTGGGGGCATTGTCATTATGTGGGATAAAAGAACTATATTGGTTGAGGAACAATTGAAGGCAAATTTACTTTGGCAGTTCAAATCAAACAAAAGAATGGGCTTGAGTGGTGGTTAATTGGGTTTTATGGGCCTAATAAGCTTAGGTTGAGAATATCTTTGTGGGAGGAGTTAGCAAGATTGTTTAGAATGTGTAGTCCGAAGTGGTGTATAGGTGGGGACCTTAATGTAATTAGGTATTCTAGAGAAAGACTTAATGGGGTTAGAGTGACAAAAATCATGCGGGATTTTGATACTTTTATAAAGGAAATTGAACTTAATGACCCACCCTTGGTAAATGTTGTCTTTACATGGTCCAATTTTAGGGAGGCCGTGGTGTGTAAAAGGCTGGATGGGTTCTTATTTACAGTAGGGTGGGAGGAGTACTTTTTAGGGTCTAGACAAAAGGTTTTACCTAGGGTTGTTTTTGATCATTGCCCAATTATTCTTGATAATTCTAGCATTAAATGGGGTCCGGGTCCTTTTAGATTTAAGAATATGTGGTTGAAACATAATACTTTTAGAGAGAAGTTTAAGGAATGGTGGGAAGAGGGTTGTTTTGTTGGATGAGAGGGATACAAAATTATGAAAAATATGGATTTTGTTAAGAGAAGTTAAAAAATAAGGAGGTTTTTGGTATACACGAGTTATTAAGAATGGTATTATGGATAGGATTGCTGATATTGATAAGATTGAGGAAATAGGGGGTTTGGATGAGGGATTAAGAAAAGAGAGATGAGGGATTAAGAATAAATTTAAGGAGGTTGTTTTTAGAGATGAGATTAGTTGAAGACAAAAATCTAGGGTGAAGTGGGTGAAGGAGGAGCATAATAATTCAAAGTTCTTTAATAGAATTGCAAATGAGAATAGGAAAAAAAAATTGTTAACAAATTGGAAGTTGAAGGAGGAGTCTTTGTTGGAGGAAGAGGACCAAATTGAAAGAGAAGCCTCGAGATTTTTTTCTCTAATTTATATGTGGCTTCTTAATGATGGGGAATTGTTGGAGTTGACTTCTATTCTTTCTTTGACAATTGATAAGAGAAGTTGGGTCATTGACTCAACGGGGGTGTTTTCATGCAAATCCTATTTTGATTCATGATACAACTTCCCCAATCTTTTATCCATCATTGAAGATTTAGAAGGCTAAGGTGCTTTTGAAGGTGAAAGTATGTGCTTGGGTGATTGCTAATGGGAAAATAAATGCCAATGATATGATCCAACGAAAGGCTTCCATACCTCTCTCTTTGTCCACAATGGTGCATTATGTGCAAAATAGATTGTGAAAATGCTAGCCATTTATTTTTGCATTGTCCGATTGCATTGAAATTATGGAATAAGCTGTTTGAGTTGACCGGGAATTCATGGGTAGCAAGTTGGCATGCGGCTTGTGAATGAACTGTTTTGTTTTTTTCTGATCGTGTCTTTCTGTAGTGCTGCTGTTTTGTGGAGGGTGTATCGATGCCTTGTCCGTTTTACCATTCCGCTCTAATATTTTTCTATTACATTCATAAATTTGTCATCTTTTTATCAAAAAGAGATATACAAGTGAGAGTGTAGCTGCTTTATATCTTTCATTTAATTCTTTACAAGAACGCAACAGCTTGATATAATCCCATAATTGCTTTGTGTTGGATGTGTTCCGCGACATTTGTAATATAGGAGGGCTGTAGATGTGTATTGCAGGAGATATATTGGATGCCCATTTCATTTCGTGGCTTACTAGAATTAAGCTGTATTCAGATTGTCAGCACCCAAACCTAGGAAATGTCCAAATGAACAGTTCACTGCTACAGTAATGCATAAGACCCAATTATTTTGTCGTTTCAGAATGGGTAGTGATAATATTCTTATTCTTCGTGCTGCTGCTGCTGTTGAACAAAGGAGAAAAAAATTGTTTTTACTTGTATCCTCTTTTTGTTATGATGACTTCTATAGTGGTTGAATTCTTCTTGCCTTTCTTTTTCTTCTTAAAAAGTGACTTAGTTTATCTTCAATTCAGTCTACCTTCTTTTGTTTTGGTTTTTGGAGTACCTGATCATTGTGTTTAGATGGGATTGAGTTCATGAAAAGTCAATCGAAAAAGTTTTGCTTCTTTGTCTTCAAGTAGGATTCTTATCTGCTTCTCGTTGTAATATTTAACTGCAGTTTTCAGATGGAAAGCTTGTTCGCTAATTTCCATGTGTTTTGTGAGCTGTAGGTTATAGCTCTTAATAGTTCTCAGGCAGCTGAAGGTGAGCTCTATGTTGATGATGGAAAGAGCTTTGAATTTGAGCAGGGAGCCTACATCCATCGCCGATTTGTATTCTCCAACGGGAAGCTTACATCTTCAAACTTGGCAACTTCTGCCCGTGGCAAAAGTCTATTTTCCTCAGGTTGCACTGTTGAGAGGATCATACTTCTCGGCCTCTCTCCTGGACCAAAAATCGCCCTCATCGAACCATCAAACCAGAAAGCTGATGTTGAATTTGGGCCACTTCAGCTTCGAGGTGAGCGGAACCCAATGGTTTTAACGATCCGCAAGCCAAATGTCCGGATTGCTGATGATTGGACAATAAAAGTTTTATAAGGTCTGGTGGGTGTAATATTTGAAGTCATTAGGTGAAGTAACCTCCGTTGTTGCTAGGATTTTGTTATGAAATCCGAAATAACTTATTTCCTGGAGTAAACTGAATGATCTCAGACCCCCTGTTTACATTGGCTGCTGCAAAATTTTACAAGTGTAATAGAGTAATGGAGAAAATTGGTTAGGAGGACAGCTCTCTGTTGGTTGCTTAACTGGCCCTATGTTGTTTCTAAGGCCTATAATAGTAAGTTTCAAATTTTACAGTTGCTCCTCAGAGTTCACTGATATAATTGATGTCTGCCCATAATCTGAAAGAGAATCAGAACATGGTAACAGAAAGTAAATTGAGCCGGCCACGAAGAGTTTAAAATCTGTGGTAGTAATCAATCTGTGCATTGTGGGTTAGTTGAACTTTCGCACTAAAATTTGTAAATTTCTCATTTTGCCTCGTGAAGTAACAAGTAGCCGTATTGTACCCTTATTGTTTGAAATTAATTTCACTTTGTACTTTCTTTCCATTGCCTTCCCATAAATTGCCAGGTGGATAAATGCAATATTGGTATATATAGCTATCTTCCATACATACATATGTATAAATTTCTAAATTTTTGTATTTTAATTATTTTGAAGCGATATTTCTGAATTTCGTATCTTCATTTTTAGGTATTGTTTGACGTATTTTGGATTGTGGGTGTGCCAAATCCTAGAGGGCTTATTTTTCAAACACTTGCGACCTTACTTACTCGAATTGATGTGAAGTTCTAAAATCATCATTGTTTAGGTGATTAAAATAAAGAGTAAGACTACTTCTAGATTTTTTTCTTTGTCTTAAAGATCAAAACTTAAATAATTTCTTTATCGTCGAGCAAATGAACTGAAAGTTTGAAGTAACTTGGAAAAAAGACATTAATGTAAGCGACATAAAAGAATTTCTAGATGAACTATTGTACTTGGCATAAAATAAAAAAAGAGCTCATTAGAGTGATGATTACAATGTAAACGAAAAAAAAAACTAAGCTAAACAGCGTAGAGAAAGGCTTTGGTATATTGTGTGTATGTATGTGATTGAGAGACCCCTTCTCTGTTGTCTAGACCTCTGTATTTACAAGCGATGACTATTAGTCGTCGAAGCCATCTTTTTCGGTCATAAGGTCGGTAATCATGGCTTCTATTTTCAACATCATCTATCGTGCAACGAATTCTTGGCTCATGATGTCACGTCTCTTCATTATCCAAGATCCATAGAGACCCTTTTTCTCTTATCTACTGTTCTCCCTTGGATCTTTTGCTGACTTGATCCGGCCGTTGACCCTTGCCATGTGTCACCCCTAGATCTTTTATTATTTGAGTGTCAACAATGTCCCCCCAAAACAAGGCAACAATGTGCTTTCTCTTTGGAGTGTCGTTTTGGTTCTTTAAATTTGAATCGCTGCCGCCTTAATCTCTTTACTTTCATGTCATCTCGGGATTGGCCACTTTGTTCAGTGCCTACAACTTAGTTTCCACGTGTAGAAGGATGGATGGAGAGGTGGGATCCTATGTGACAATTAAAATAGTTGTTATTCTATAGGTTAGTTTCTTTCTCCCATTATTTCAATGCCTCGTTACAAAAGCTAAGCCCATCTCGTTATTCTATTCACATATATCCTAAAGTCTATATGTCACTTTTATCGTTTTTCGTTTAAGGGAATGAATGGGAGGGGGTCTGGGAGCTATGAGTCGACGAGAAGGTTCTTTTCCCTCTATGTCCCAATATGTTAATTTTCCCTTCGAAAGAAAATGCTAATGCTAACTAAGATCACCAGAGATACCTTCCAAAGTGACCAACTGGTAAGTTGTTGTCGTTTCTAGCTTTGGGGCTAACAAATGTGGGAATGAGTTCACTCCTATAGGAGAGAGTCCAATCTATTAGGTCTCCAAGCAATAATCACTCCACTTTATCAATTCTACTCGGATTCGATCATGACTTCTCGATCATTTGGAACAAGTCCAGAACCAGAAGTGGTAGTTGGTGTAATATCGTCGCAGATGGGCCCGTCGCCTGAGAATTAAAGCAAGAAGCACTCTCCTGCTCTCGAGTGGTAAGCAATTGAGTGAGATGAGCTGCCTCATTTTCTGTAAGAGATGGGGGGACGGGTTCCCCCCGAGCTTGCTGTTGGAAAACTTGACTTAGCGAATCAATTCCAAGCTGGCAAACAATCTATCTTGTCCTATTGGCTCTTGTGCGCCTCATTTATGCCGGTGGCATACTGTACCATATTGTGCTGAACATTCACAAAAGTCATGGCCTTTGGCTATGTTAGACTCTCCTCTCTCTATCCTTCCCTTAAAGTGCTCTAGAACTCAAGGAAGAAAAGACATTCGTCTTTTGAGTCACTCAAGCGAGCCAATAAGAAAAGAAATGGTTCCAATCAAATGAATAGTATAAGTGGGATCCATACCTGTCCCTCGATTCTTCCCGCTTTGTTGAATTGAATATGTTGCTCTTTATTGATCCGATCTCCTAGAGAAAGTAAGTTGCGAATCTCCTTGTTATGATGATCGGGCCATCATTTCCTTCTATCTATTAGGTTTTCATTCTTGGGCTCCTTTTTGTCCCTTAACTCTGTTAATCCCAACATTCGAGGTTCTTTGTCGAATTGCAATCTTTGATTTGAACTATGAAACCCAATCCGAATGAATGTTGGTATTGCGCTTGTATTGTCTGATTTGTACTAGAAAATACAGTTATTGAGCTTCCCCTTCCTACGGGATCTGAGATCGAGTAACAACTCATTATTCAAATAATGAAAATAAATAATATCAATAGAATAGCCCGCTCTTAGATCAGATGATCTTGATTGAAAGAGGCAAGCCCGCAAATCGGGAAGATATCTTGACTTTAAGAGGAAACCCAAGAGTGTTTAGGATTGAATCTTGAATCTTGGTAGAGTTAGCCGAGAAAGAAAGATCTTGATATCAATGTTTACCTCAATCGTGGGAGAGAGAAGGATGACTTTTGCCTTACACTAGGAACAAAGACTATTTACTTTACATGTCGCTTAATAGTTTGATAGTGAAAGAAGTTTGTCCAATCTTCTTCTGTCTTTTCATATATGTAGGAAATGGCGGTGTCACGTGATCCGTTCATCATTAGGACGATTCACTGACTGTGCCTATATAAATTATCCCTTTAAACGATTCTTGTCATCATTCCAACTCTTCAACTTTTCTCTCTCTTATAATGGTGATCCCTTGTGCTATTGCTCTTCAAGAAGCACTTGCAGAGATTCCTTCTCACAAAATCGACCATCATACCTCTATACTTGAATCCTACACTTTTTCATCAGTAATGGGCTTTAGTCCCGCTTTTACTGCTTATCTTCCAGGCATTGTTCGCCAGTTATATCCTCCATCCCATAAACCTCTTCCATTTAGAGAACATTTATAGTGGTCTAACTGGAGTTCTAGAACCCTTGTTCGTTCATGGAAGGCTCCTTCTTCAGAATGGGTTTCTTGGGTTGCACGTGTTAAAGCAGTCAAAGGCCGCTTGTGGCAATGTTTGGGTATTTACAATGCCATAAATGATAGTACCATCAACATGCCCCTTCTTTTATTCGGTTCTCCTATTCTGGTACATGGCGAACAATGCCTTCATTTTCAGTGTGGCATGATGGGTCCAACAGTTTATGATATCGTTGCCTTACTCGGTCTTCCTCGATTTGGGGTTGAGGTTACTTCTCTTCTATCTCATACAGACAAGGTTTACTATTTGCCTCTTGATCCTTAGAACAAACCTATCCTGTCATATTCTCATTTTCTCACGGCTTGTCGTGGCTAAGATGGCTCAGAAGTCACATATGTTGAGCACATTTCTTTTATTCTTTATTGGCTCAACCATTTCTTCTTCTGTGTGTCTTCTTGCAAAATCTCTAAGGAGTACGTCTCACTAGTTGTTAACCTAGCCGTGAGAGGTTCTTATGCCTAGGCCCCTATTATGTTTGCCCACCTTTATTGTGGGTTGTCCAAGACAGTTGACACCAACAGGCTCAAAGGTGTTGGCTCCCTCTAAGTTCTTTAGTTATGGATTGGTGCTTAATTTTTTTTTTTTTGTCACATTTTGAAATTTTACAGGGAAGGGGATAGTGAGGTTCGAACCCACGACCTAACGGTCCAACAACGGGCTTTGGTGGCCATTAGGATAGCCGTTGATCCTTAACTTCGTGCCTCCTTTTTCAAAGCTTTCTGTTGCTTCCTCCAGTGATCTTGATATTCATCATAGCTAGCTTTCCGTTGTTGCCCTATGTAAGGAACAATCCTTTGTTGAGTGCTTTGGCTTCTTTTTATCACAAAATCGATTCATGACCTATTTGGATGTCATTTACTCATAATCGCGGTCCGAAATGGTTTCTCTATCACCCTGGGGAGGCCCCTTCTGATCAATCCACTCAACATGCGGGTGCCTGGTTCTCCTACCTTTTTCTTAGAGAGTTGCATTATGGACTTGAGCCCCTAACTTGTCCCAATGCTTGCAGTGGCGAGGAGGTTTACATTCCTTAATAGTTTGCATGCCAATTTGGTTTGGTTCAGCAAATTCCTTACCCTTTTGCCACCATATTTAATACTGATTTTATCAATTGGCTTACTCTAGCCGATACTTCTACGATTTTATCAATTTTCACATTGTCATCTTCATGGCCATGCCTGATATCACTGTCCTATTCGTAACATGGTGGGACTGTTATGTTTCCAAATAGTTTGAAAATGACTTGCCTACTATGCTCTACAAAGTGAATATTCCAGCTTGTCTCACTCTTTCTTTGAGGGTTAGTTCTACACACAACTCTCTTTTGCCCACGGCTCGTTAGCCAACCCCTAGAGTGAATCTTCTGGCGAAAGTTTAATTTTCATCTTCTACTAGATCACCTTCTCCTCCTAAGTCAAGGTCTAGAGAAAAACACTAAAGGCTAATCACCATCGTGATTGTCCCAAACGTGGTGACCCAACATGCTAGTAACCATCGA